GACGCGTTTTGTCCAATGTGGAATTTTACAAGGCAAAACGAAATGAATTTATTAAACAAAGTAACTAACAATAACAAAACAAAGTCACTTCGTTTAAATAAATTCATTTCGTTTTGCCTTCAAAATGTCCACATCGGACGAAACGCGTCGGCAACTATTACAGTTTTCCTATTGTCTTTTAAATTTATAAATATTGTCTTTTTCTACAGGTTAAATCTGTGAAATTTTATATATATATATATATATATATATATATATTTACTAATTTAAAAATATGGTTCGATCGCTACACAGGAATTACCATGTTTCAAATCAGAAACTAAAAACTTCAAATTCAATTATACAATTAAATTAAAGTCCCTATTCCTGTTTCATTTTAAAGTCAATTTTGGAATAACTCATTTTGAAATTTGTAGATTTGCATTGAACACTGTTTTGTAAAAATATAAATAATTGATAAGAACACTGGATTATATATCTTACTATTCTTTCTCTTTATTATAATATATATATATATATATATATATATATATATATATATATATATATGATGGTTTTGTGTGGCCTTGAACCAAACTAAGTTAAACTAATAAAGCTGACTAGTTTAGATTTCATTAAAGATGATCTAGTTTCGCTAAACATTTTCAGTACATTTGGTTTCTATCGAGTTGACCCATTTCTTTGACCTTGTGCCAGCCAAACTTCACTAAGTGTGTGTGTGCGCGTGTGTGAGTGTGTGTGCATGTGTCTGTGTTGTTGGTGTTTTATGGAAAAAGCTCTCCTCAGAAATCATCCTTCCTGCAAAATGTATTCAAACATCCTCTGTTAATTGTGGTTGAAAGTTAATTAAATATATTGGGAATCAAAATTAAATTAAACTTGGGAAAATTTATTTGTCTGGAATTTAAATGTTTCTAAATTATCAGATTTTTTTTTTTAAATTATTGAAAGATTAGAAAAAAATGTGCATAGAATTTTTCTCATTTCTTTTTTTTCAATGTAATAAATCATTAACATTTTCTCCTTTTCTTTGTAGAATTGCAAATAAAATGTGCGCGAAAGTTTCCAGCAAAAGAAAAATTTTTCAGCTCATTCTTCAGTTTCTAGTTTAAAAAAAATTAAACGAAAGGAAGAAAAATGAAATAAAACAAAGAAGAAAAGCATTATAAACAAAAAAGTAAAAAAAGAAGAAAAACGAAAAAGTAACATAAGAAAAAAAAGAAAGAAAAAGTACAAAAAAAAGAAGAAAAGAGAGCGCTTGGAAGGTTTTCACACAATTCGCGTGCGTGTGCGCAAGCGTGTGCGCATGCGAGCACGTGTGCGTGTCGGATGTTTTCAAAGACGAAAACACGCAAAAGTGGATTTAAGAAACTCCAGTAAATGATTGTATTATTAATTTATTAGATGAATATGAAATTGATTAAATATAAAATTAATTAATGCCCAAGTAATTACTTAATATTATTAACGAAATGATTTTTAACGAACTGCTGAGAATGAAGACTGTATTGCGCCAACATTTTTAGATAATGTGTGTGCGGGTCCGGTCAGAGGAGATCGGATTATGATATATATTAAATGAATACAAATACTTTATCATACACCTTTCTAGTCAGAATAATATACGTATCTTCTACACCTAGTAACCTCTAGTGTCTTAGTGGCTTTCTTGCCTTGCATGAAGTAATATATATATATATATATATATATATATATATATATATATATATATATATAGAGAGAGAGAGAGAGAGAGAGAGAGAAAAAGGTAGCAAAACTTCATTTGGTATGTAAGGAACAAGCAATATTTTGGAAGATTTTATGCTTAGTTGTTCTTGCATCCTTACAATTTTTTCTTGCTACATTTATAGAGAAAGGATGCACAGCGTTTATAGATCAAGATTTGGTGTAAAGATGGTATAGAGTCGTGAAATTGATATTCACCATGCATTGTTCATACCTATGTCTCCACTGTCCTTAATATATATATATATATATATAGTCGAGTAGCAGAGTATATATATATATATATATATATATACACACACTGCTACTCGACTCATCGAATTCGACGTATGAGGGTCAAGCAGATCAGTTCCCAGGAAACCAACAGTCGGACAACAGTACATGAGATTTGATTATAGTGGTGAAGGTTTTGTGCAGGACCAACCACACTTTTTGAATACAGTGACCTGGTGCACCGAGTGCCACAAGGTCCCCAAACGACCCTCCGTAGGTTTTGAATTCAGAGTTGTCCTTCTCCTAGACCAGCTGCCATCCAAGGCTATAGAAGCTAGTCTGTCCTGTTATTTACCTATAGCTGGAGGGAGAAGAAGAGAATTCACACTTTTCCCAAGGGTATTAGCACGTAAATGAACTGGAATTCGAACTCGGCTCTCCGATTCCTCAATCCAAGCCGCTATCCATTACCCCACCGTGCCTAAATAGTGTAAATAAATATAAAATATCTAATTTTCGAAAATGCACCAGATATGGTAGT